TTGAATTGTATGTTTTGCATGCAGAAGTAAATGGAACTGGCTTTCCATTATTTTATTTGTTTCTTGAAAGTAATAATCGATGCAAAGATGGTGTATAAACAGGAGTAATACAAAAATTTCTTACTATGTTCTGAGACCAAGGATTAAAACCTCAATTTTTCTTGACAGATAAAGATTATTCTCAAATCAATACAGCACGTTTTGTGTGGCCATATTGTAAAATTCAACTTTGTAAATGGCATCTTAAAAGAGCTATTAATATAAGGCTATCAAGCAACAAACCCACTCGGTCTTCAGGTTTTAATCCACTTTCAGAACTTGGAAAAAGGTTTCTTTTAATGGAATTCAGCAAGCAACACAATTCTGCCCAAAAGAACTTCAAGCAAATGTATGAAGTATTATTGAAAAACATTTTTATAATCATCTATTAATTTCAACAGTTGATGGTCGATTCTCAACAAAAGATATTATTTATGAAAAATCTATTTCAGAAATGTATTTATTTTGCAAGAATTATTCTTTGATTTCACTTTGGTCATATCTTTTTACAAAATGGTATAATTTACCTAAGTGGGAATTATGGGTGCATGCATTATGTGAAAATAAAATCTCTATACTAAAAACTACAATGTTCATTGAGGGACATTGGAAAACACTTAAAAGAGATTTTTTATACAAGTTTTTTTGACTACGAATGGATCTCGTTGTATATATTTTAATAAAAAAGGTGATAGGGAGAGAGAAACCTAAGTGGGTTAAAGACTTTAAATCAGAATGGAATGAATTATCCAAACAGCCTATTAATCATACATATGTAACTAACATGAATGAATAGATTTGCAGATGTCCTTACTACTTGACTAGTCGATTTAATATTTGTAAACATCTTATTCATCAAAAAGAAGGTGGTACAGCTGATTTTTTAATTATATAAAAAGAAATTATCAACCTCCTTTTTTGATCGAAGAAAACTTTTTATTACCATTTGTGGATAACAATTCAAATGATCATCTTAAGGATAATTTATCAGCTATAAGCGAATCAGTTGAAGAAGATAATGGTGTATTCGATGATTTAATTAATACAACTAAAAAGGTACTTGCACTTTTAGAAGAGCAAAAATTAGCTGGTAACGTAAAATGGTGCAAAGCAATAAAAAAATCCTTCGATCCTGTCACTAAATTAGTTGAAGACGTTGAAAAATATAAAAGAAAAAGGACTATGCCATTAACATGGAAGGGTCATACAGATAGTACTCGTTATTTACAATAAATAAGAACTATATATTCTTGAACTGCTTTATTTGAAATAAAAATTTGTAATTGCACTAAATTAGTATCGCTTCGAGCTTTTAAACTGGCATCAAAATACGTATATACGTATATCAGATATATGATCAGTAATATCGCAGTATAATGCATAAGCCATATAAGCCGCATAAAATCACATGTCCATGTTTTTTTATGGTTACGCTGGGTAGTTATCATTTGTTATACACTTGACCCCGTTAATATCAACCTTATTAATATTAACCTCCCATTAATATCAACTTCTTATTAAGACAAAATAGACTCAGGATATATTAAAACTATCCTGATATTATCAACCCTCGCATATATCAACATAATTGCCTAATCCAAATGGGTTGAGATTAACGGGGTCAAGTGTATTTATATGGTTTGTTGTGCTAGAAGTATCAGCACATGCTTCTTGTTGATTGCAAGAATTTTCATTCTTGTTACTTTTTGTATTTGCTTGTTCCTCTTTGACTTGGTTAGCCCAGTTTGTGTTAAGTTTATTGAGGTTCATGTCTGAAGATATATTTGCTTCTGGCTTGAAGCTACTATTGCTATTATTATTGTTGTTGTCTGGTTTTGCAGTATTTTTTTTTGTTTTTCTTA